TATCGATGGAACAACTTCCCAACTCCATCCACAACTTTCTGAGAACGATTTTGTAGAAAGTAAAAAAGATAGTCAGTAATTAACAGTGGGTCTATAGTGGTACTATGCTGTGATAGCAAATAACGATTTTATTCAGATATTCTACAAAGGGTGACATTTTTTAAATATTCAGGAAGAGTTTGTTGGAACAGTTTCTTCTGATTGTCTGTTTTTTACGACATTTGTAACCAAATCCAATTTTCAAATGACTCAATAATCAATATGATATGACATATCTGAACAATATGAATTATATTTTTCAAAATTGAAAAATTCACAGAATCAGCCGATGTGCTGATGACTCTATCTGATTGTTTTCTCAGTCGCTTTGTATTTTGCAGTCAATATTGATGCAAACAAAATTTTGGTTTGAAAAATTTGGAGTCGTAAACTGGTTTTGTTTGAAGCCACCGCAAACTTGTTGCTGAAACAGCATTGGAATGTTTACCATTTTACCGAAACAAAATTCAATCGGAATGTGACACAAATTAAAATAATATGCACAAAGACTATGGAATTTTTGCAGGTATAATAAAAATAATTTCCAAAATGCTTTCAGATTTCGACAAAAATAAATCAGAAAATATTCAATTTCAAACCTTAGACAAACATACCAAATTAGAACAATTTATATAGAGAAATATTTGAAAAACATTTTGCAAACACTGACATTACTGAATACAAAATCAAAGATCAATAAAGGGTTCCAAGTTGTTGAGTGTACTCTATATTCAATGCAGCAACATTCCATATGTTTGAAGGTGATTGACAACGTTTCATGATGAATTTCACTAGTTCGAACTTCCATTGTCTACCATATAAAATGATTTGAAATCCCTGAAACAACTAAAAAAAGAAGAATTAAAAATGAATAGCTCAAAATAATAATTATATTAAGCGAAATAAACCTTAAATGAAATAATAGTGAAGTAAAATAGAACAATTGAACAAAAATAATGAAAATAAAGAAATAAAAAAAAGTTGAGAGATTCCAAGTCACGTTAGTTCACGACGTTTCGATTGTTAGTATCTACAATCATCTTCGGGTGATGACTGGACCGATTCCTCCGAGAGATGACTATTTATAGGTCGTTCGAGTGCTTTCAACACAACACTGAGTGGTCCCAAGCTGAGATCTTGCACAGAGAGGAACATTGGTTCAGGAGAAAATTCAAGGAAGCCGCTTACATGTTGTCCAACAACATATTCAGCCAAGCCAGCGTAGAAATACGCAACATATGGTAACCCATCATCAAGTGGAAAAAATTGCCAACTCCCACCAAACGGTCATCTCCCACGGAACCAGTGAAGCGGAAAATGGAAAGCGGAGATAAGTGAAAGTACTCGAACGACCTATAAATAGTCATCTCTCGAAGGAATCGGTCCAGTCATCACCCGAAGGCGATTGTAGATACTAACAATCGAAATGTCGTGAAATAACGTGACTTGGAATCTCTCAACTTTTTATTTCATTTCCTTATTTTTATCATTTTTGTTCAATTGTTCTATTTTACTTGTATTTTATTTCACTATTATTTCATTTCAGGTTTATTTTGCTTAATATAATTGTTATTTTCAGCTATTCATTTTCAATACTTCCTTTATTAGTTGTTTCAGGGATTTCAAATCATTTTATATAGTGGACAATAGAAGTCCAAACTAGTGAAAAACATTCCATATGTAAGGTTGTTTAAATCCGTTTTTATAAGTCTACTTTGAACTGTAATATATCAAATAATACCCATTCAATTCAATCGAAATAAGCGCCTTTTGAATCAGTGCTATTAATTCCGTCTGCATAACAACTGTGTGCTCGGGACTCGACGAAGTCGACGAAGGCTGTTTATGTCTGTGAAAGGCTTGAAAAAATGGTAGTCACTTGGCGAAAGGAGAGGTCTTGAGAGTTTGGTAGGTGAGGCAAACTTCGACGCTCCATTTGTTCAATTTACAGACTGTAGGATCGGATCTCTGGCGTTGACCAGTGTCAGCTACTGCTGACACACTTTTCGGTACATTTCGTCGATTTTTTCCACAATAGAACTCTACTGTAATGGTTTGACCCAGTTGTGGAAAGTTGTAGTGAATTGCACCAGCCGTTGACCACCATATAATCATCATGGTCATTTCTTATGGGATTTCGCCTTCAAGAAATGTCTAGGTGGCTCATCGGTTGCCAACCTATCCTCAACGTCTTCTGTTGTTATATGATACGATCCAAAAAGGGATCGTTTTGGTTGCGCGAAAGCAGAAAAAAACAAACCTCGAACCGTGACAATTTTTGTCGATCATTCAAATCATAGGTCATCCACTTTTCGAGCTCTTTGACCTTTCCAATACGTTTCGAACCACCACAAACCGCATGGAAGCTGACTCCCAGTTCTTCCATCATTCCACGCATAGTTTGTAATGGGTCAGTCTCCACCTGGGTCCTCAAATCCTCGTCCTAGATCATTTTAGGTCAACCACGTCTAGGTTCATCCTTGAAGCTGAAATCTCCGTAAGGAAATTTCGCAAACCAACGTTGAACAGTGCTTTTATTAACATTGTAATTGGCAAATGCCTAGTTGATTTTTTTGGCTCTTTCGGCAATGCTTTGGTTCAATTCGAGTTCGTAGATGAAAATGGCGAAAAATTGCTAAAATGAGGCGAAAAATTGAAATTCAGAAAAAATTAACAGCATCATTGTATACACTATAAAATTCCCTATCAATCAGTATATACCACGAATCAGTTGAATGAAAATTGATTTATTTGAAAGTAGTTAGGTTAGGTTAGGTTTCATTGGTTCGGACTTCCATTGTCTTATATGATACGAAACAATATCTGAACCAGGAATCCAACCGCCATCAATCGACTATGAGAAGAATCATCAAGACCGTACTTTCGGGCTCTATAATGCAAAGAGGATTGTCTGGAAGGATAAGAAGAGTTGGGTCCAAGTGTAACATCAGAACTTGTTTCAGATCTGGAAACACTATCTGTAGTAGCCTCACGAAAACCAAGCCACCAAACGTGGACTGCGATTCCAAGAATTTCATTTACTGGATACCTTGCGAGTGCGGAAATCATTCATTAGTTAAACTAATAGGCCATTGAAAGTTCGGATTGCCGAGCACAAGAAACACAGCGAGGAGTAACCAGCCAATCAGAAATAGCAGAGCAAGTTTGGCTCATCCACAAGAAGGAACACTGGTTCAGGAGAAAATTCGAAGAAGCCACGTGTATGTTGTCCAACAACTCATTTAGCCAAGCTAGCGTAGAGATACGCAACATATGGAAACCTATAATCAAGCGGAACACGACTGACTCCCGCCAAAGGGACACCTCCCCTTAAAACCGATGAAACGGAGAGGGGGAAGAGGTAATAGGTGAAAGCACTCGAATGACCTATAAATTGTCAGATTTTGGAAAAATGAGTCCAGTTATCACCCGAAGACGATTGTGAATACTAACAATCGAAACGCTGTGAAGTAACTCGGTTTGAAATCTTTTAATTTTCAATTTTCATTTCCTGTTAATAATTTTTAATTTTCATCTCGTGTTAATAGTACATTTCTTCTTCATTTTTGATTGTTGCTTGTAATTTGTTTCATTGTAATATAATTTTAATTTTTCGGCAAATATTTTCAATATTGATAGATTCTTTCAGGGATTTAAAATCAATTTTATATCATTTTAGACAATGGAAGTCCAAATCAGTGAAGTGCACATGACATTGAAACTTTTGAAACAACCCAATATATTGGTTGTGTGATTATGATAATTATAATTCCACGAGGAATCATATTTGGATATTAGATAATAATGAAAAAATTCAAAATATGCTCACATTGATTTATTTCTGTTTCACAGATTATCTATTTCACCTAAATCCATAATGGAACACTAATGTCGATATATTTCTACATTTCAAATAATCTTTTTTATAATAACTTCCAAAATATAAATCATGAAGTTATAAAACAACAACAAGAATTAATTGGCGCTTCAGGGCCACTTCATTGATTTCAGTGGCTCATTTGCTTTTCCAGCTGCAGGAAAACCCGAAAAAACCTGCAGCACTACATCATCTGAAGATCTTGATCCGCCAATATCCTCTCTTCCATAAAACAAACACTTAGTGACACGACTATCGTTAAACTCAAACCAGTCCGTTTCGTCTTTGACCAAGGTGTAATAATGACCAGACTCAATGCTAGAACCACAGTGAACAATGTCTGCATGAAGATTATAATAGTGGTCTGCTAGATTGAAGTTCTCATCTATTTCTAACCTTCGTAAGAGTTTGGTGCTTCCGTCAGAGGTTGACTCATGTTTAAAGATCATCAGTGTTATTATTAGATTGACTGGTGCCTCAGCTATACTTGTTTTCTTATAACATTCATTTAGTTTGGCGCATGTTTGGCATTGCATTTCAGTACATGCATAAGTGTAAACATAAGTGCATAAGTGTTCACACTTATGCATGTACTGACAATTCTTCTGATGATTAAACACATTCATTTGATATTGTACATTTTTTCAGGACAAAACACAAGCAATACAGGAAACTCCTCAAGGCGTGTACATTTGCTGATAAATCTGAATTTCAATAGGGATAATATATCATTAATCCCACTAGAAATGTGACCGGAAATATGTGTGTTCACCTACGTTAATACTTCAATGAGAAAAAACCTCCATTCTTGATTTTCTCAGCTATTATCATATTTCAGTTCACTTCATTACTTTTTTCTCTATCAGAAGGTATTTCAAGAACTGAAATGATAAAATTTTCAAATCCTTAGTTTGAATAGGTCAGAAATAGAATAATGAGCAGAGAATTCGTACATTTGTTGGATAACTACTCAGTTCTTGTCCAAAATTCTCCAGGTATTATTGATAACTGTTAAGTTGGGTTCCACTCGGTGACTGTGATTTCATGACCCCACTTCGCGGTTAAACAAAACCCGAAAAACGTGAGAGTGAAGGTGAAACAAGAGTGGTTCAACCATAGTCGGTTCAGTTTGTGTATTGATATCCACTTGACACACTGAAATGTAAAAAAATTGTTCTGGAGGTCTGAGAAAAAATTGCATTGACCGCAAAAATTGGTGGGAGTAATATATTTGCGTCGATATAAATGATTTAACTTCAGGCAGCACCGGTTTCGATGTTGATTCGGAATTAAATACATTCGTCGCTGTTTAATTTTTATAATGTTAATCTACCTCTTGATTTTTGGTGTGTGTGTGGGAGTGATGCTGTCCCATCCAGCTTTACTGTCTGATGACGAAGGTATGATGATTTTTCAAATTTTGACTATCGCTTTGAATGTGCTTTCTGTAAAATAATTCAATAGTTAAATTTTGAAGTGGTATTTGACAAATGTAATAGGAACACTTCTTCTGTAAATCAGAACTGTAACACTATTTTCAATGCGCGTTTTCAAAACCAAGTTGAGGTCATCAGAAGATGGTGTAATTCAATATCTGAACTCTACAAGTCTATTTGAAATTGTCAGTGTGAAAGTTCACTTATATAAGAGCCAATTTCAAAAAAGTGTATTGAAGAAGAGTGAGCGAAAGACTATTTGAAATAGTATTTTTTGGTTTAAAGCTATGGTACCCCAACTATACTCTTTTCGAACTGTTGAAAGTATTCAGAAGTCTAGTGGTATGTTGACTTACACTTGCTGAAATGATCAAGCACAAAAACCCATTCGGAAAGTCGTTTCACAAAAAGGTTGGAATTTCTAACCAACTGATCAGTGTTTTTTGATTCTCATGGAATAATAGAAGAGTGAGCGAGGGACTATTTGAAATCTAATTTTTTGCTTCATAGTTGTGATACTACACTTCACTATTTTCAGAGTCTCGGAAGCATTCAAAAGTCTAGTGGGATGTTGCCCTATATTCGTTGAAGTAATCAAGCACAAAAACCTATTCGAAAAGTCGTTTCATGAAAAGGTTGGAATTTCTAACCAACTGCTCAGTGTTTTTTGATTCTCATGCGATAATAAACTCTGACCATGGTTGTCTTTTCAAAAGGCCACCATATAGGAATGTTGTCTCTGAATTTACGTTTCCTCATCAATAGACAGCAAGACCATGCTTAATTAAAAAAGGAATCTTTTGATACTTATTAACAATATATGATTTTCATAGTCCTGAAGTAGAAAATATTTGTGCCTTCAGTTGTAGATAGTTCGCGAATTGAAGGGGTGATTTACCAAAAATCCCATAAATTTGAAAACTTATTACAACTGGGATTTTTCTAAAAGAAACGCTCTACCCTACGAAAAAAAAACATAAAAATGGGAAACATTCATATAGCACGATGATGCTTCCAAGATATTTCAAAAATGTATATTTCAAGACCCAACATATATCTCAAGAATGTCCCCCATTTTTGGAAATATACATTCATGACCAAATATATCTTCTATTACGAATAATGATATCTACGAGATTTATTTGAAATACATCTTCGAAACATTTTTAAGATATTTGTTTGAAGGTGATTGACAATGTTTCGTGATGAATTTCACTAGTTCGGACTTCCATTGTCTACTATATAAAATGATTTGAAATCCCTGAAACAAGTAAAACGAATAATTAAAAAAGAATAGCTGAAAATAACAATTATATTAAGCAAAAAAAATAAACCTGAAATGAAATGATAGTCAAGATGAGGGACTGCCAATGGGATCGCCACTTTCACCACTTTTACTTGTAGGTTATTTCACTATCATTTCATTTCAGGTTTATTTTTTTGCTTAATATAATTGTTATTTTCAGCTATTCTTTTTTAATTATTCTTTTTACTTGTTTCAGGGATTTCAAATCATTTTATATAGTAGACAATGGAAGTCCGAACTGGTGAAATTCATTTTTAAGATATCTTTCGAATGCATTTTTTAGATATTTTTTCGGTCGGTCGATCGGTAGCCAGGCGGTTCGACGTGGGCGCTTTGTTCACTTACTCAATCGGCCTATGTGTCTGTCGGCCTATGTGTTTAGCCGCAGGCTAAATGGTCGATTTTCACTCGCTATCGTCCAACCTGTGTGAGAAATCATACGTTAAACGGTAAGACCTCGTTAATCCTTAGCTCGCACAAGTTTTAACTTTTGAGGGTTGTCGTTTGGGTTAACGGAAAAACATATTTTAAACATATTTTTTTAATCATTAGGTCTGTAACTGACATACTCTTCAAGAAATTCCACGAGGAAAAAATATTTGTATTTTTCAAATGCTTTTTACATAGGTTACTTATATTTAGGTAACATCCAGAATTTTTATTTACCGACAATACTTATTGTCGACCAAAAGTTCGTATCCACAACTGTATCCACGATTCACTTTCCTTTTCTGTGCAGTTCGTAAATTCTGTTGCAGTTTCTGAATGAAAAAATTCTCATTTTTCTCAAAAAATATTTAGTCATTCATCAATTTCTATTCTATCTTCTCCAAAGTAGTCTCACTCAGATATAATACATTTGTGTCAGCGTTTTTTTCAAGCCTCGAAGCAGTATGACCTACGCCACGATAATCGAAGGAAGAAGTGTACACCTTGACATTTGATTGAATTTGGCGTACTGTTTTTGGTTTTGGCTGTCCTGGGCTCTTTCATTAGGACGATATACCAATGATTATAAGTAAGTCTGGGTCGCCATTGACGTCATCCAACAATTCGTGAGCGATGCTCATGGGACGGTTTTTTGGCCTAAATTCAGCAATTTTGGAACAAACTTTGCTGCGACACCCTTTATGTCAAACATTTTCGAAAAAATTGTATGGCATGGACTAACCGACATGGAAACCACATTTTTTCGTGTGGTTTCCATTGCCCAGTTTTACAAAAACTCAACACGTGTTTCACCATACAATGGCTTCTTCGCGCGTGTTTTAGAGTGAAGGTTGGTTGAGAATTTCAACCTTTTTATGAAACGACTTTTCGAATAGGTTTTTGTGCTTGATTACTTCAACAACATGCCACTAGACTTTTGAATGCTTTCAAAAATGCTTTCTAAAAAGAGTAGAGCGTGATATCACCACTATGAAGAAAAAAATAAGATTTTGGATAGTCCCTTGCTCACTCTTCTATTATTGCATGAAAATCAAAAGAACACTTCTTATCGATTGGTTGGATATCCCAACCTTTTTATGAAGCGAATTTTAGAATAGGTTTTTGTGCTTGATCACTTCAACAAGTGTAGTGCAAAATGACACGAGACATTTGAATGCTTTCAATAGTGTAAAAAGAGTAATAATGTGTGGTATCACAACTACAAAGCAAAAATTGAGATTTCGAATAGTCCCTTGCCCACTTTTTTGTTATTACACGAAATTCCAACCTTTTTATTAAACGACTTTTCGCAAGAGTTTTTGTGCCTGATCACTTTAGCAAATGTAAGGAAACATGCCACTAGACTTTGAATGATCCCAACAGTTTGAAAAATGTATAGTGTGGTATCACAACTATGAAAAAATTATAAGATTTCGAATAGTCCCTTGTTCACTCTCCTATTATTGCATGAGAATCAAAAACCACGTTGGTTGGAAATATCAACTTTTTCATGAAACGAATTTTTGAGCTGATTGCTATCAGCATTGGAATGTTTGTATACTTCTTCACAGCAATACATAGATTTCAAATCGTTCATGATGAAAAACCCACAGGGAACCAGTATCTGTAGAGTAGGGAGGGTGAGTGTAAGCCCACAGCACTTAAGCCACATGTTTAGTTTAGGCCACATTATACATCCTTCCGAGGAGTTGTCCTCCTAGGTCATCGTTCATCCTGTCCTTTCCAGGAAGGTGGACAGGTCACTGGGAGACATCTCCTTTATATCGGCAGGTGTAGGCGAAGACTCGCCGAACACACACTCCCTTATTGACGATTACTTCGGGCACTCGCAAAGGACATGCCTGACAGTCTTATCTTCCTGTTCACACATCCTGCATAGAGGTGAGTCCACTAGCCCCATATTATGGAGGTGTTTCCTTAGTTGACAGTGGCCAGTCAGAGAACCTACTGTTAGTCGTAGATTTTTTCTAGTCATCGCCAGATATTTCTTCGGCCCCAGCTTCCCAGGGTCGCCCAAGGTGATCCTGGCAAGATTGCATCCTTTGGTTTCATCCCATTAAGTTATCAGGCCATAGGTGCCACTGGGTCCTAAAATTCTTAGTTCAGCCGCTTCCTTGGCTGAAGAGTCGGCAATGCGATTACCTTTCTTTCTGTCGTGCCTTTTAACCCACCTCAGGATAATGTTATTATGTACCGAGGCTTTGGCTAAATCTTGGTGACACTCTAGTACTAGCCCAGAGGTTATACGTTGTCTGTTCAAGGCTAATAGGGCTTGTCTGCTGTCAGTGCAGATTGTTATGTTTTGCCTGAAATTCCTTTCTTGGTTATTTCTTTTGTGGCGATTGAGATACCAGCCAGTTATGTTTGGACCACGCTGGTATTTCTTCCCATTCCCCAATTAATTCTTAGGTTTAGTGATCTCTGCGCAGAGGTTGCGCAGTGAGCGCTTCCCATTGCCGCGATTGGTGTTGTTCTCATGGCTCCTGTGATGTTTACACCAGCCAGTTGCTGTATTTGATATAATTTTGGGATGGCCGTTGCTTGTAGAACTTACGGTCCCCATACAATGGCTCCATACGTTAACATAGGTCTCATTATTGCAGTATAGATCCAGGTGAACACGGGGTGAAAAACTCAATGCGCGTCCCACTGTCCTCCGATATTGGCCATAAGCCACGTATGCTCTTTTTGCTCTACTTCATGTTAGCTTCCTGTCGAGGATAGTACCGAGGTATTTTATCTCTTCAGAGAAGTTTAGTTTGCTTTTGAAGATTTCGGAAGGTTTTAAGCCCGTTAAACTTGTTTTCCTAGTGAAAAGGACCATCTCAGTCTTCTTGGGATTGATCGACAGTGAGTGTTCCTTACACCATGTTTCTATTGATTTGAGCCCATCCTGCGCTCTATCGCACAGTGTGTTTACAAATTTGCCGGTCAGGGTAACCAGAACTATGTTCCAGAGAAGGGGTGATAAGACCTCTCCCTGTGGAGATTCCCTCATGACCAGTCCTTTCACTGTGATGTCTTCTACATTAATACTTGTTGCTCTACTATAGAGCATCTTGAGTATCCATTCTCCTACTACCAGGGGTACATTCCTGGAGGGGAACCAGTATAAAAATGAGAATTCATAACTGCTTTTTTATTCCAATATGGAAGGAAAACGAAAACTAATATACGCATATGGTGCATGATTTTTTCTGTACAGTTCTGTGAAATTCATTCACAAATTTTTTCTCTCAGGCTTCAAACTCACTTCAACTATAGAGTGGATATCTACTAAAATTGTATATGAAAACTCATGTCTCTCAAAAGACGACCTTTTATTGTAGATGCAGAAATATTGGCCTATAACAACAAACTGGTTAGAAATAAGACTCAGGAAGAAATGCAAGAAGAAACTCTGAAAGAATTTTGGAACAAGAACGCAGCAATGTTTGTGAGAGACAAACTTTTCAGAAAGAACAATGAAAGTGAGTATACATTTTGCGAGTTCATGATTTTGAAATTCAACTCATACAGGAAAAATTAAGGAAATGGGTATTTCCAATTTGTAACCAAGCCAAGTATTGTTGTCAAGATCATATTTCAATTCAGAATGCACGATTACCACAATGTTTTCAATTCTGATAATGTAAATGTGATTCAGGAAACTGAAAAAATCTAAATGATCTTTACAGATACAGCTAAGAATGTTATATTATTCCTTGGTGACGGAATGTCAATCCCAACTATAGCTGCTACAAGAGTTTATATAGGAGGAGAAGAAAAACAGCTTTCCTTTGAAAAATTCCCATACACAGGACTATCTAAGGTAAGATTTTGAATACTCAATGAAACAGAACAAAATACGGGCTAGTTGGCCGAGGTCGGATACCAGACTCTCTGGAAAATCATTGTGATCTCCTGATTTCATATATAATATACAGATTCATCGACAAAAGTTTGAAAAACAAATTATTATAGTACAAGGGTTCATATTCGATACGTTTTCTGTATAGTCAAAGAATGTTTATAACAATATTTGTGTCTTCTACAAGCATATTATTTTGATTTTTGAATCGCCTCATGCAAATTCACGAACTGAATTGAATTTCTTGAAGATTACTTCAGCACGTATCAATAATTACGGAGAATGATGCATGACATTTCAAACGTCATAGGACCATTTCTGTTTTAAGATCCGCAAAAATTCAAACGTGTCTTAATTGACGAAACGTGATTCCTGTCATTACTTGACTACAATGAGCTTTCAAAGTTAGTATTGCAATCACGTAATAATAATTATTACTTTATTTAACATGTGCACATTTTTCATGAATAACCTTTGACGGGTTGCATGCAGACAATATAATTGAAAACCATCGATTTCATACTTCAAACATGATGTAATCGGTGATATCATTGCCATATCATTGGTTTCAACTTGGCGAGGAGAAATAATTGGTACATAAACTAAAACTAGATAAATTGGATAATTTATTTTGATTTGATTAAACAAACATAATATAGTAAACAGTTTATCTATGATTCAATTTCATCGTGATTGTGGTTTTTTGCTTACCTGTGAAAGCATCCTGGAAAAATGTGAAACTTCCAATCCAAACTTAGTCAGTGGCTTTGGTTGATTGTATTATTGCGATTCAATGAAATAATCGCAATTGAAAAGTATAGTGATTTTCTAGAGACCCCAAGAACATTGCGCTTGAAGTTGTCATTGCTCTTCCATGAATCAAATTTCAGTTGGAGATGTATTGTCAAACGAAAAGTACTTCCTGGAAGATTGAACAACAATATATAATAACTATGAATAGAGTACGGAACATAAGTTTTGAGGAAAAATCTAACGGAACGATCAACGATATAGGGGAATTTCGTCAAAATCCATAAAAAACTGAGTGCTGGGCCAACAAGAGGATCAGCAGTACGACCATGCTGATATCATTCGAATAGATCACCTATAAACCGGTATTGGGGTATCAATGCAGGAAAGATCCGACTCAAACAACAAAGTGTCTGAAACAGCAAAAAAGCAAAAAACTAAGTGCTGGGTCAGCAAGAGGATCAGCAGCAGAACCATGATGATACCATTCGAGTAGACCATCTACAAATCGGTTTTGAGGTATTACCTCTCATCAGTGCAGAGAAGATCCGACCCAAACAGCTAAAAAACTAACTGCTGGGACAGCAAAGTCCCACGCGCAATACAGAAGACCAGCAGCAGGACCATGCTGATATCATTCGAGTAGATCACCTACAAACTGGTTTTGAGGTATTACCGTTCATCAGTACAGGAAGGATCCGACCCAAACAGTGAAGTATCTGTAACATCAAAAAAAAGCAAAACTCTTGAGTGCTGGGACAACAAAGTTCCAAGCACGTGATAGAGGACCAGCAGCAGGTTTTGAGGCATTATCTTTCATCAGTGCAGGACCCAAAGNTAATGTATGATCTCTTTTGTACTGATGAAAAACAACCAGTCTGTAAGGAGCCCGGAGGTGATTATCTGAAGGAATTCTCAGTGCATATATTCGAGACTCATTTCATATTTCTTTCAGGTAAAAATTGAATGATGAACTCTCTGTGAATGTCGGAAAAAAATCGGGCTCAAATCAACGTACTTTCTACAATGCGGTCTGAGAAGTCGCGAAATAGGTAGAATTTTTCAGATCTTGATAGTACTTTTACTGCTTGATCTATTCGCGGGCAGATGGCGCTGTACGTAACCTCATTGATATTTCTTGATATATTCACGGGCAGATGGCGCTTTTCGTAACTATCAATTATTGTTCGATCTGTTTG